TATGTAATAACCAAATCTATGAAAATTAAGTTTGTTTTCAATTATTTGTCCCAAAATGTAATACTAATGCTTGCTTCCCACAACCCGTGGATTTACGGACCGCGCCAAAGAAATTCCGAAAATTTTTAGGAATCGTGTTTTCACACCTTATATTAATCAGTGCATATCCTCAATTTTATTACATATATTTTCCAGAGTGATTTAATACACACTTATGCGGAATTAACCAAAGACATTTGAGGTTGTCCGCGTTAGTAGCAAAAACAGATTTTTTGGCTAATTTATTATATCTGAGCGGAGCCTTCTGACACAAATATTTAATTACTAAATAGCTCGTTCCCAGCCTCAGTCTATAGCTAACACCGACTGTACATTTAAAAAAAAAATGTTGAATGTATATACCTTCACAGTTTTTATTTCAATTTTCATATGTTAATTAATAAATAAATAAATAACGCACACACTCAACATAGCCCCGCACTAGGGAAACCCTGTGTCGCGGGTGCCATGGACACACACATAGACAACCACAAACTACACCCTAACTCACGAGAGAAATAAATGTGAGGCATACAAATATTTCTCCCGGCCCGGGAATCGAACCTGGGACCTCTGCGTGGCAGTCCGGCATGATAACCGTTCGGCCACAGAGGCAGTTTTTTTTTATTGAGAGAACGATTGCCTTTTATACAAGAGATTCTAGGTTCGATGCCTACAGTGACCGTGCATCAGTTGAATGATATACAATATCCTATGTAACAGAACCTTCACAAGCTTAACTCTTCGCAAATCGTGAAGTTTCTAAAGTGCATCGAGATAAAGAAGAAGATAGAAGATACAGAAGACAAATGGGTGGATGATGATGATGAAAGAATACACAGAAATAAGTATTTTTTTAATGTTTAATTAAAACTTTGAAATCTCTACCTTATCCAATATAATTTTCTTAACTCTACAATTCTAAACATTTTTTACTTGGTTCATGAAATATTTTTGTAATTTACAAAGGTGTTTAAAAAAAAACCTACATTTTTCAAAATATTAAACCGTAATATGATAATAATACTGATAAAATCGGACTATAAGTAATAATATAATAATGATATACAGAAAGATAATAACTTTATAATATAATGCGTTATTGTTTAATTAATAAACGGGGTTATTAATGGGAATTAAATAGAACATAGTCAAGTGGCTCCTATCCCAAGAAATTGTACTTATATTTTATCCTACTTACATTTAACACGTTCATTCTCTTTTAGGCCTAATCCAAAAACATGTTCTGTGTTAAATATGCGTTAATATGTCCAATGTAAATCCAAACAAAATATCTACATGTACAGGATGTTACGTTACGAGTTGCCAATTTTTTGAAGAGTTTTATCGGAATTTAAAAAAATGAATATTGCTAATGTATGCATTTGTTTCACAAGTCTTACCTTCCCCAATACAGGGTAAAGGCCTTTCTTTCCAAAGGCTATTAATTCCCATTAGGTATGTTATTCCCATGCCTTATCGAAATCATTTAAATTACCTCATCTTGGCCATTCTCGCTTTCTCTTTCCACGGAAAGTATAAATCTTACGATGTTTTTTCTATCATTCCTGCATACCGCATAAGGCGGTTGACATCTTGTTAGCATTGAATTTAATAGTTCGACGGATAACTAATAAAAACATTATTAAAATGGCAACACTAAGCCGGAATGACAGAATATCCATGCCATCAGTTTATACAATTGCTTATACGGACTTACTGTTTGCGATTAAACAACCCTTTTAAAAATTAGTAGTCTATTTTAACCTTGCACTCTGCATAGAAAATATAATGTGAAAGTGTTTGTAGTTATGAAATGAGCACAAGAAGAAGCTTTATTTGAAATCGTTTCATGGATACCTGCAAGTGTTTCTTTTTGCAAATCTTTTAGTACACATTTTTTCATCAGAGGGAGGTTTAATAGAACTAAAGGCAGTTAACTTAAATGTAAACCCTTATCAAACTGGGAAATGGTAAAGAAACAATCTCAGTTGTGTGAAGCCAGTTTGTCTGGTCATAAACAAGTTGATTCAACAAATCAAGAACAAATGTAGTAGCAGTAGAGCTCCTTGTTAGAGAGTTCGTCCAAGGAAGTACTGCCACCTTACATATTTCTGCCGCCAAGCAGTAATGTCAGCATTACTGTGTTCCAGTTTTGAAGGGTAAGGGTGTTCGTGAAATTACAGGCACATGGGACTTGTCAACGGGTGACAGGCGCAGTGCCCCTCAGATCTTTGCGATTTAAAGCTCTGAGTGGCACTGCAACTGTTATGAACAGGCATGTAGCTTACCATCAGGCGTACGCTTGTTCGTCCCGTCACTTGATGTTATAAAAAAAAAATCAAGGCACCATCCAGTTCAATTCGACACCCGCTCTCGATTGTCATTTATTAAAACAACCCGTCGACCTTGAGGTAACCTTCGCCCAGAGCCCGCTTTACGCAGCTGCCGCCTGAAGAGTCCAAACAGAACATGCCAGCCTTAAGTACATAAACTTTCTTTTAATTTGCAAAACATCTTCTCTCAACAACAGTAGCGCAGTCTATTCTATTCATTTCCCTGAAAATCCTCGACAAATTGATTAGCATATTTGCGTCATTATTCCTACACATCCACAAGTTCAAAAGATTCTCAGTTGGTGAACAAGTATTTGAAAAATAATTGTAATATGACGATATTTTAAATTTCTCGGCCAAAAGACGCCAGTCGTTGCCTTTAGCCGTTTGCGAGTCCAGCAACTTGCAGAGTATAACACGATCAGATTTAGTTAACATGTTTGTTCGATAATTATTGTCAACACTAAAGTTACTTTTGTAACTACTATTCTTAAAAACAAAGTCGTACCTACCCGCTTTTTTACTCAAAGATGAATAATTAAAAGGATTTTCGAAAATATTCACAGTATAGCCTAACTCCACACTCGAAGTACTTAATCTTTTGAAATTAGAGTTAAAATCGTTTGTCTTTAAGTTGAAATTGACTGAATTGCATTGCTTTTGTTTCTGATATATGGACAAGTTTAATTCTAAGCAATTAATTGAATCTGTTTGCTGCAATACAAACACGCATTGCAAATATTTATTCATGTTCCAAAGATGAGTGTACGATAGCTCTTGGTATTTCGCCCCGGATTTGATCTTCCACCCTTGTCCAACTTCTCTAACATTGAAACACAGATCTGAACAGTTTTCTTGAAAGCAAATTGTTTTTGGATCACAAAGTAAAGTGCTACCACAACGTTTCTCATTATCATAACACTCGTAAAAACCAAAGGGCGTATCGTTAAAAACATCTATTTTGAGATTATAACAACTATCCTCAGTTTTTGAGACAAAAAGGGCGAGCTTCAGTAGTTTGTTATCGAAGCTGCTAAAACTTTTACCAACCAATACGAAGTCACTTAAAAATTCACTCATGAGGTAAACTTTAGAAGGATCGATTTGGGCAAAGATTGGAGTTCCTGGAGTGTCTTGGCCCACTGAAAGAACTTTGCGCCACTCCCTTAAACTTGCGTCTTCTGGTTTCTGCAGGATGTAAAACAGCCAGCTGTGGTTCTTCAGCGAAGCGCAGTGTGGAAAGGACAGCACGACACCTTTTCTAAAGTGAGAGTTCTTGGGACAGCAGCGTACAACTGGACTCAGTTGGGTCTCACCTATTAAAGAGAGTATCTTCTTTAACCTAACGTTAATCATTGCAATCATATTAATTACAGCATTGTAAACTCAAAAACAAATGAAGTTGAAAATACTGTTGCCAAACATAGCATATAAGTAATTAACCTGCCGGACGTATGACAGTGATCGAAATCCAGGTCGCTACAATCCTATTTCAGATTTCTCAGTTCAGCCCAATATAGCGTTAGTGTAACTTATGAGGTCACATGTGATAATGAAACTGATTATTCTTATCGAGTGTTTAGGTTTTTGCGAATACTACATATTGGAAATAAAAGTAGTTTTTCAAACAATCAAACGTTTTGGGTTCTTTACTGGTCAGTCAGCCATGTCCTTGACCAAAGAACGAATATACGTAATTTATATTCGACAAAATAGCTCTAGTTTCATAGCCAATATGTAACATCACAAAACCTAACATCTTTTTTTATTTTTTAATATTTTTTTTATTTCATATTCACATCAAATTCTATCAGATAAATAGTAATACACTTAGGGTCGTATTCGAGAACTCTACTCAATGCTAAAGTCAGGATTTGCGATTTGCGCAGACTTGAGTATGATTTCAAATACTGGAAAAACGACCCTAATGGCAAGGACTTGAGTATGATTTCTAGTGCTTTGAATCATACTCAAGTCCTGACTTGAGCATTGAGTAGAGTTCTAGAATACGACCCTTAAACCCTTGAAGGGTTTATAACTTGTCACGTCAGACAAGTGAAAATTAAATTATTAATAAGTTATTAAGCGAAAATTAAGAGTTCGTCCAGGGAAGTACTGTAGACTAGAAGTCTTTCTGGCGAATGCAGATAGAGGCTAACATAGAAGGACAGGAGGAAATGGATTACTAATTTGCATGAATGTGATTTATTTTATTTTGGTTTCATGGATATATTAACCTGTTTATATGTGTATGGTTGTTGATCATTCCTCCAAATGAACTAGGGCTATCTGCATTCAAGGGAAAATATATTTGTTTAATTGTTATGAATCTTCAATATCATGTATCATCATATCATGTCTATTCCTGGTGTTATTTATTATACGATAATTTCTGTGTTTTTCTGTGGTTTGTCCTAATAAAGCAAGAAAATCGGATGGAACGTGGATAGTTGCAGGACGAGGACTAAGGCAGCTGGGAGGTGTATATTGATGTAACCCAGCGAGCATTCGATGGACTGAACATCCATCGCCTGAGATGTCGTAGTAACAGCGTGCACGATGAAGAATATTTATTTGTAAACGAAATAAAGAATTTTAGTAGAATTCAGCCTGTCCGGATTTTAGCTAAAATAAAGAGTTAGGGTTTTATAGCTAGAGTTTAGCTAAAAGGACACCTAAATAGCTAGAATAGGTAATAAGTCTGCTAAGCAAGCTTCCCGCTTACAGCATCCCTGCTGACTTTTGTAGCTGGATATCAGATTTCCTTGATGAACGGTCAATCGGAGTAGTCGTTGAAGGCTGCTCATCTGATTTGATGGCTATCAATGCCGGAGTTCCTCAGGGGTCGGTTCTCTCTGCGACTCTTTTCCTGCTGCACATCAATGTCGTGCTAGTCTCAGGTATTTTTGGGTATGCAGATGACAGCACTGTTACGAAGAGATATCTGGCCAGCGCAAAGGACAGCAGGGTAGTTATCATATCGTTGAGAGAGGCCATGGTGGAACGGACGAACTTGACCTTAAGTCTTGTCTCTCAGTGGAGAGATGACAATCTGGTCGAGTTCAACGCGACCAAAACGCAGGCCTGTCTGTTTACTGCTAAAAAGACTCAATTTGGTCTGACTCCCACTTTTCGGGGTATATTTTTTATTTATTTTATTTATTTATTTATTTACACTTACATAATAAGCTAACAGCTATACAGCCAACACGCTTACATGCTACACAATGTCAAAATTCACAAAATTATTACAGTCAATCAAAAATTATTATAGATGAATTATTATTATGTCAATTATACAATAATGTTTCTTAATCTTATTCTATGAACTTACTCATCTCTCTACATATATACTGCACGCGATCAGCAAATAAGTCAACATGACTACACCGAGCGAGTATGTCCCCAATCAGGAGTATTGCACGAACGGTAGGTGCGTTGGCACCATAAAGTGTGCGCGTGACCGGCTTGCGCAAGAGCTGAGGTTGGCGGCGCGGGGCCACCACCCCCTCCCCAACCCCCACCCAAGGCATACGCACGGGCACCAGTAGATCCACTCTACAAATCACATCATCATCTATCTTATGGTGGAATGCAGAAATGAAATATGCCAGGAGGAGCATCTTTCGCCTCCTAGACAGCAAGTTAAGTTCCACCATACCTGTAACAAATAGCGAGGGATACAGGTATGGGTAATACCCGTATTGCTGTCGATAGAGCCACCGTGCAAATTTACGTTGAACGCGTTCAACCATGGTGGAGTATTTGTCCTCGTGGGGGTCCCAGATTATAGCAGCGTATTCAAGTGTACTGCGTACGTAAGCATTATATAGTACCTTGGCCACAACTACATCATTAAATTCATATGAAGTCCGTATAATAAAGCCTAAGGTTTTATTCGCCTTTTTACAGGTTTCTATCACATGTTTGTGAAAGTCTAATTTACTATCTATTATTAATCCTAAGTCACAAATGTCATAAAATCTATCTATGCAGGCGTCAAATAATTTATAAATTTGCAATCTTGGGTAACGTTTACGGGTGTAAGTAATAACTTTACATTTAGAGTTATTAAAGGGCATACGATTAGCTACACTCCATTCACCCACCGCATCAATATCCGCTTGCAAGGCTGCTGTATCCACACTATCCCTCACACCCAGGAACAGCTTAAGATCATCAGCAAATAAAAGACATCGAGCATTACGAATGGTATCGGGCAAGTCATTAATCATTATTAAAAATAGAGTTGGGCCTAACGTACTTCCTTGACTTACGCCAGACCTTGTGTAGTATTCTGTAGACGTAAACCCTTGCACTTTAACGAACTGTCGTCTATTCGCGAGATAGCTGGCAAAAAACCGTAGGAGCTTAGGTGTACAGCCCAATAACGCCAATTTCCCCAACAGCACGTCATTGTCCACCAGGTCGAATGCCTTTTTAAAATCGAAGTATGCTGCGTCAACCTGGCGACCTGCATCCATCTCTGCCGATACGTAGTCCACCAACGCAACCAAATTTGTAGTAGTAGAACGAGCTCTGCGAAAGCCATGTTGACTATTGTGCAGCAGACCATCCACTTGCCTACAAATGTGCCTATTAACGATAGACTCAAAGATTTTTGCAAACACTGATAGTACCGCGATAGGTCTGTACTGCGTTACGTCACCCCTTGCATCTCCTTTCGGTACTGGCGTTACACACGATAGCTTCCAGCACTGCGGGTACATCGAAGAGTCAAGACAAAGGCCATAGATGTAGATCAGTGGAGCCCGAAAAGCTGACACACAATCTTTTGCTAGAAACATTGGCACTCCATCCGGACCCCCCGCAGTTTGAGGTTTTAGACGCTTTACAGCAGTTATAACATCAGTCTCACTCACATCTAACACAGCAATAACCCTAGCACCTACTTGTGAATGAGCAGCGCGAGCAGCTTCTTCAGGGTCCAAGTGCGGCTGGTTCAATTGGAAAACTGAGCCGAAATATCGGGCAAAAGCGTCGGCAGCAGCCTGTCCAGCCACTTCACCTTCGTCATAGGAAAAGACATCAACACCTCGCCTATCCTTTCGCTTGTCTTTGACATATCTCCAGAATTTAGCTGGTTCATCAAAAATACTTTTTTGCAAATTATTTATATTTTGCCGGTACGCATCACTTATCAATTTTTTAACGTGCCATCTATAGTATTTATACATTTCCCTATCATACTCTTTACCCTCAGACTTGGCTTTCTTAAGATGAAAGTGTTTATGTTTTAGATTACGTATAATTTCTGGAGTGTACCATTTTGGGTATACATATCGCGTATCACGTTGTACACGCTTTTTGATTGGTACAAATCGATTAAAACATTCGTATATTTTTTGGTAGAAAAAGTCAACAGCCCTATCAGGATGACAAATTTCAAACAGTTCAGTCCAGTCTATCTCAGCTAAAGCGGCATACAAGGATTGAAAGTCCGCTTTACGCCAGTTCCATTCATGAGACCCATCCTGTTGTTTAGGTGCGTCTAGGTGAGGAGACAGCGGGGGCCCAACGTCACGCTGCAAGCTTACGGTCAATTCAAGTGAGGGATGGTGTTTATCTATAGGTACTAGGGGCTCACTAGTAGCTGTGACACTAACCTGATTGGGGGCAATATCGCTCAGTATTAAGTCTAAATATCGGCCATTAATATTAAGCACTTCGTTATGATTTTTTAATTTACAAAATTCACAGAAACAATTAAATTGTGCTGCTATGGTTTTTGAGAATGAATTTAAATTAAAGTCTCCTAAAACTAAAACTTCAAAGTCCGGGTAAGAACAGATTGCATTTTCGATACACGTTAAAGTATTCAAATAATATTCATCACTACTATCAGGGGAAATATACACAACACAACATAACAATTTAGTGTTGTTGCACTTGATAGTGGCAAATAATAGTTCCTTGTCTGGTGTTAGACCATTAATATCTGTGATCATGCGTACAGAGTAACAATCGCGCACTGCCAGCAACACTCCACCCCAACCAGCTTCGCACTTTCGATCATCGCGAATCACTACATATCCAGGTGGAAAAAGTTCTCCATTGGTCACCGAACTAGTTAGAAAGGTCTCTGTCAAAGCGATTATGTCGTATTTCGATTGCATCACATTATTTTTAAAGACAATGGTCTTAGTACGCAGACCGCGTACGTTCTGGTAGTAACAATGGTAAGTCTTGAGTTTGTCACTTCTTTCCCTGAAAGTTGCGAAAATATTGTCGCCACGGCTTGACACAAATGTCTACAGCCCAATTCTCCGGACTCAAGATAAGATCAGTTAGCTCTGGTGGTACTGCAAGCTTAAACGAAGCATAATTTCCTCGCGCTTTTAGCGCTTCAACCGTACAAGCGTCACTTCCACATAATTCTTTGAGATGGGCATTTACCTGTTCGACAGTAGTACCCACCTTAACGTAATAGAGATGTAGATATGTTCTCTTTTCAGCAGCACTTAGTAGCGTAGCCCCAGGAGCAGCAGAACCTCGCAGCACACCGGGCAATGACACTCGGGCTGATAACGACGGCTTTCGGCGTCTTACCTCTGTCCATTCGCCTATGCCATCGTTGCTCACCGGATCCGCGGATTTGACTGCCGAAGCATAATCAGATTTAGCAGTGGGCGTAGATGTGGATGTGGGTGTTGACACGTTTTGCCGCTGTTGCTTTCGATTTTCCCTTCGGGCAGGTAGTGTTTGCCGGTCAATATCATTTATTTTGGGCTTAGCCGCCACAGTGGTGTTTTTAGAAGGTTTATCCTTTTTAGTCACCTTACTTGCTGTGGCATACCCATTTATTGTCCTCTGTAATTCATCTACTCTATTCGATAGACAATTCACTCTCTCTAACAAATCGATTTTGAGAGAGTTAAAGTGCTCAAAAAATAGTTTGCTAATTTTTAGTGTTAGGCGTTCTTCAAACTCAACTTGTGCTTCTCTCAATGCTTTTACAATGGATAGTTGAGGTGTTTGTAGCGGACAATTCATGCCATCGTTATCACTAGATTGTCCATAACGTCTCCCAGTACGTACAGTGACATTATCGGGGCTAGAATTTGAAAAATCATGGCAATCCCTAGTGGTACTATCCTGCATAAAGTACTGGCGAACAGGGGTATTTGAGTTATCGCCTTTTGGAATTTTACTTCGGCATTCAACACAAACCCAAGACAGTTTGATTTCAGGTGAAAGTGCATCATACGCATCCTCTGTATAATTCGCACATAAAAGTTCATAAGTCAGTTTGCATTTGACGCATGACATAAAAGGATCCCCAGTGTTTATTGCACTTTGGCATCCTGCACAGCTTAAAGTTGTTTTTCGCGTAGTCATCCTTACGTTGGGTTGGTTTACAACTCGTTATTTTGTAGCTAGGCTCTCACGCACAAACAATATTCTTGTCCAGGAAGACCAGATAACAATTCGATTCGGACCACTGTTTCTGTTGGTCAATAATACGATTCGGACCGCTTCTGTCACTGGGCGTATAGTAATTTGGCCTCTGCGTGAAACGGATCAGAAATCACACGAACGCAGCTGTAGTCAAATATGTATGCTGGCAACACTGGTTACTTGTCAGACAAGTTTACGCCCATAAATGTCAAACATCCAATCAGCTGATTTCTAATTTACAGGTTATCATTGATTTGTGGTGTTGATGTGATGTTAAATTCAAATTTTATAGATCAACTGTTATTTTCGTCGTACCTTTAGTTGATTGTGATGTGAATCCGGTGTCTCCAAACCACGAAAACGCTTGTGCTTTTCAACCAACTCGTTCGCACTATGTATTTGTTGTTCTCGTAAGTAAAACACTGTGTTTTCCAAAATAAATCTTTATAAAATTAGCAAGGGGTTGTTACCAGTATACGGACTACGTTCCGTTCCTATATATATCTGTGTCTCTTACCGACAGCCTAGATCTCCTTGGCATAACATTGAGCGCAACTCTTAACTTTGGCGCTTATATTGAATGTAAGGCACAAATTGCAGCCAAAAAACTGGGTATCCTTAACTGTGGGATGGCTCAGTGAAGTATCAATTTGAGGCTCTTGATGCGATTGAGCGCAGAGCCAGAAGACTTATTGGCGACGTTAAGCTTGAATTACAGTTCACAGTTTGGCCCATCGGAGCCAAGTTGCCCGTCTGTCTATTTTTTACAGAATATATATCGGTGAGTGTGCCCATGAGCTCCAGCAGCTCATCACGCCCGCCCCCTTTTACTATCGGACATCCAGACTTACGGCGGGATATCATCCTTACTTGGTCGATATTCCCTTCAGATGTACTAAGCGCTTTTCATCATCTTTTATTTTGCGCACAGCCCAGGAATGGAATTCCCTGCCTGCGTCTGTATTTCCGAATTCATACAACCCGGGTATCTTTAAGGTGGGACTGAATAGGCACCTTCTGGGCAAGCTTGTTCCATCGTAGATCCTGTCTTTGCTCCAGAGCTAGGTAGTGGTCAAAAGCAAGTCCATCTAATTAAAAAAAAAGAGTAAATATATTTGAGTTGTTCGCTTAGGGTGTTTCATAATCTGTCCTTTTAGATAGGTTTTTGGCAGACTAAAGCCATAGCCTCCTCGATAGTTTTGTTTGTTGGTAAGGTAATGACTTCCGAGCAGTGTGTGGCTAGCCAATAATAAAGGCTTATCACATGTGTAAAATGCATATCATAGAGCACTAGCTAGGGATGTTCCCCCCCTTCAGTTGTGAGGAAGAGGGATGTAGACTAGGCAGTATGATTAGAAATACTGGCTGAATTAACGTAGGTTTGTGTTCAGAATTGTGTAAAAAAAAAATGGGATGAAAAAAAAGAAGAATATCTTGGTTGTTCTAGAACAGGCTTTGAACTGAAAATACGCAATAAATATTTATTCATGGATATAATCCTGTTCTATATTTGAAAAGTACCTCACGCTAACCCAAGTTACGTCTCTCTCTACAGTACAGCCACGTTACCTATTTCTGCCGCCAAGAAGTAATGTAAGCATTACTGCGTTTCGGTTTAGAAGGGTAAGGGTGCTGGTGAAATTACAGGCATATGGTACTTGTCAGCTGTATGTCTCAGATTTTTGCGATTTAAAGCTCTGAATGGCACTGCAACTGTTATGGATAGTCATGTCGCTTGCCACCAGGCACACGACTTGATCGTTCCGTCACTAGGTAATAATAAAAAAATAGCAGTCTTTTCATGAAGTATAACTTAAGTTAACGTAAACGATCTTATATAAATAGATAGATAGGTTGCATGAAAAACGGAATAAATTTGCAACACATAGTTTGATGCGTAAAAATGGCAATACAGCTTTCAAATTATTACGATGAGTAAGTATTTGCTAGTGAATTATATTTACCGACGCGTTTAAAAAATGTTACTCCTTTTTTGGTGCCTAATATTACTGTATATCACGGTAGTTAAAGTAAAAAAATTGTTTCATGTAATCCGATTATTTTTGTCGTTTCGACGTTGCTCTGAAATTAATTGGCGTTCAAGATACATAGATAGGCTATGTTAAAACAGATATGGTTGGTTGGCATGCCAAGTATTCCCGGCATGCGACTAACGACGGAGTGGGGACGGTAGTCTCCCAGAGGTGGGTCCGCAATCGCGGACAACCGCAGGCGGGTCCGTGGATCGTAAACCAAGTGGCCACGGTCCTGTTCCATGCGGAGTGTGGGAATACCCGGGGGTTTTTAGTGAGTACGAGTCTCACATAACTGCCGCGCCTCCATGACGGATTTTCCCCGGAAAAAAAAGGTATTGTTTGTGTTGTTATGACATTATATATGAATCCTTCAAACGTCCAAATTGTAAATTAGGGTGTCTAAATAGTGTCATAAATTACTTTGAGTTTTTTTGTAGGCTTTTAATCTGTGTAAATCTCTGTTTGATATACTTTGAGATCTTTAGTTTGAGTTAGTCTACATCACCTTACCTTCCAACAACAAAGGCTTGTTCCATTCCTCGTCCATGATTTCAACAGAAAACACTTCTTCGCCCTTGTCAAGAACACCTTCAGGCACAAATAAGCTCACTCCACATTTGTCCAGATTCAGCCAATCCCCATCGCTGGTCACAATCTTTGATATTGCCGTCTCTAAGTTAGGGTTGAGTTTTGATTCTAGTGATGTGTGGTTTTTGAGTGACGGTGACATTTCTACGCTTTCATTGTAAGACGACCCCGCTGAAAATGATCAGGTCGTTGAAGAATCGTGGGGTATTATATAAAAAATGTGATATTGATAATGCTGAGCAATTTTGGAGCAAGATCGTAAAGGCAGAATTGTAGTGGCAAATTGAGCAGTTTTGTATTAAATTATATGTCTTATACATTAAATTGAATTAAATGGGGCAAAGCAATTGTATGATATATATACTGTTGCAACTATCTGAGATGTTGACGGAGAACGAACTGTCGATCAATAAGCAAATTTTCTCATAAATCTGTTCTACTTAAAAGCTAAATAAACCGGGGGACTATAATACAGATGTTTGTCGACTTTCTTACTTCCTAGTTGACGTGCAGGTAATAAGTTTCCATATTAAAAATGTAAGTAGACAGCTGCATATAACCCCTGATTTATAAGAAAAGCAATGTTAGTGCAGGTGATGAACTCACAGCTTAAAAAGCAGCTGGAGTCAGAGCGGTCTGACTCCACATCCTTACTAGCGAGCCTGCTGCTCCGGTCGGGTCTTACCTCGTGGTCTATTGGAGACATGTAGCTATGGACAAAAACAAATAGTTTTAGGTTGCAAACTGATCTATACATTAGCCTATGGGTTGGTCAATGAATGTGTTCCAGTGACCAAAGTTGATCGAGTCATTAACAAAGTATAAGGATTCACCATTTTCTAAAGGGTTTATTAAGGCCTTAGATTACGAAAGAAATCCCGTACTACATTTAATTTCGTGGTGTTATATGTAAAAATTAGACGTGGGTCGATCATGATCGAATGAATAATAAATTAGTAATTTTGAATGCTCATAAGTTTTTTGTTAAGTATTTACGTTTTGTAGGTGTTACTTTTCTTAGAAAAAAATTTTAGTGTTCTAAGTATGGTCTATCAATGATGCATTTAACTTTATACACATTACTCATCAGCAGAAAACAATAAAAGCTAACTGTACAATTTGACACTTTTAAACGCCATATGGAAGTACCGTGAGTGACGAATGACCCGCTAAAATATCGAACATATGATCGAATCATTTGACCCGATCATACTACGCGTGGGTCATGATAGACCCGGGTTATCAAAACTGATCCACCTATACAGGTCTAGTAAGAATGTAATGTTTTATTAACATAATTAATCGATCGAAGGAATTTTTCTTAGTGATTGATCTTTGTATTAATAATTATAACAAACTACTGGAGTAATTATATATAGTTAATGTTATTATTATAATCATAATTATAATAATAACATTAACGCACACCTCAACATAGCCCCGCACTAGGGAAACCCTGTCTTGCCGGTGCCATGGATACACAGATAGACAACCACAAATTACACCCAAACTCACGAGAGAAATAAATGTAGGTCATACAAATATTTCTCCAGGCCTGGGAATCGAACCTGGGACCTCTGCGTGGCAGTCCGGAATGGTAACCGTTCGACCACGGAGGCAGTTATAATTAAAAGTCGTGTATAATTTGCTGCTTAGTTGTAATTTTTATGTTAGTGGTTGCCAGGTTATAGCTATGTACAAATTTGTCTATCCAACATAACTAATTTTAAATATTAGTGGAAACTTTTTTGGCTAGTGTTTGTTTCATATGTGTTAAAAATGGAATGTATTATATGACGCTGTATGATTCCCAAATAAATAGATAAAAAAAAAGATAAGAAAATATATGTAAAGTTTTTGTTTCGCACATTTAAATCTTTTAAATGGTAAACTTTGGATGTCATCCGAAGTGGAATGATTGTTTAATAGCATAGAAAAATTAAAGATGATGTGTCTATAGCGGGAAATTCATATTGGCACGTTGGTATCTGCCACAATACCGAAAAACAATATGATAAGCTCTTAACAGCTTTAGCTACGCAGTGCATTACACCACGAAGTCTGAGGAGATTGTGGAGTACATCAGACTAAAATCCAAACACCCTGATGGTCGAGGTTGGAGTCCCGCCACAACGTGAATTCTTTACGGTGAAAGGCCGCCCAGACATCTGTCGACCTTTATGAAAGACGAGTTTTGGCCAAAGGGTATATAGGCGATTCCGCGGCCGGTTACTACACACCATTTTGCGCCACACGCCGCCAACAAGTGCAATTCGTGTAGATTAGTTATTTAGTTTTACATATAGTTATTTAGTTGTACATACCTGTTAGCAAGTTGTGGTACTTCATATAGGTGTTCTTGACGAGTATGCGTGGAAGTGCTCATGTTTCTAGTTCTTCTTGAATCTAACGTATGGAATTCTTCGTGAATCGTTAGATCAGGTTGGTTGGTTAGAGTCCTTTTTAATACGTTGTTAAAATAATTCGACCCTAAAATAAAACAACTTACGTAACCCATTGTTATATTTCATAGCAAGTTAATAGTTTTATTGATAACCACCATTAACTTGACCAACAAACTACTGAAAAACCTGTCAGGAAGAAAATTCATACCTGGTGGTGGTTTCGCGTAAAGAGAATTTTCAGTCATCTTGATTTTCATGTACTTGATTACAAGTACAGCAACAACTATAAAGAGCAGGAATGCTATGGATAATGCTATTAAAAGTGGCCAATATGACGCTCCTGAAACAAAACCATGTTATTGCAAAGTATACTGCTCTATGATGATATTCTTTACTAACATTCATATTATAACTTAAATTACGCCAATTGCTCGTATCTCCTGTTAATATAATCAAGATGCATGTGATCAAAACACCATAAACTTATCCTACGTTCGAATTTCCACAATTCTCTAAATTTTTTTTTTGACAGGGAGATAATAAACGCGTATGCTTTGGTCTCCCAAGCTAATCGAAGCATCACTAGTGTGGCTGAACTAAGTGTAAACCAAAAACATATAATATAAATATGTAGAAATAAAACAAGAAGAATAAAAAATAGTGTATAGATTTATAAATTGTTTTAGTCATAATTAAGAAATGCACAAAGGGAATATTATACGTTACAACAAAAAAGAAAAGAAAAAGAAAAGAGATACGGATCTTGAGTTTGTAGAGGGCAATTTATGGGAAAGAGGTTTTAGTCTATGGGCTACTGGCTACACTTCCCACCGATGTCGGGCTTCGACGCCACAAAAGCAATTTTTCACTTACCTTCATTAACAATATGTGACTTCGAAGTTCTCACACATAACAAACATTGAGCGACTTGATAATCCTGCCCAGGACAGTCCACTGCAAGATTGGTCAAGCATCTCCGTCGTCTAGTCTGAAGGCAGTCGGTGTCACATGGCGACCATTCGGACCACTGAGACCAGCGCGTTCGTGGCATATTGGCCTGTAGTATATCGGAGGCGTCATCTGCTAACTCGTCTATACCGTCAACGTATAAATCTGAAATATTAAATTTATGAGATACCAGATTCGAAAAAAAGGGAAGGGGAAATGAGTATTTAAAAGATTAATTATATCAATTTTAGTCTTCCTGGTGTCATAAGGTTGATTTACTGTCAGGTTAAATCATATCCTAATAATCCTAGAAAAAATAATTAGTATAACATCGTTTAAACTGCAAAAATTTACCTAAATCACAGTCCACACAGTCTGAACTTCTCTGTACACTCTGACCCACGCAAGGCTGTCCACCATTCAAAGGTCGCGGAGCTGTACATGTCCTTTCCCGTTTCTTGCCTGTACTCTGCCTTGACGGACTACAGTAACAATCTGTCCATGTAGACCAAGTTGACCATCCTCCATTCACTACAAGGCAATAATAATTTCGTAATAGAAAAATATCAAAAATGTACACCGCAAGATGATTTTCACTTACCAAAAACAGTTAACAATGCTGGATTAGATATTCTCTTACCAGCTAAGTTTTCAGCAACACATGTATAATTTGCCATGTCCTGAAAAGAAAAATTGCTTGATACGATTCTAATACTAATTTTACTATTTCACAATGTATAGATAGGTAAAAGATACAGATGCGTAATAATAGTCGGAAATTTCACGTAAACACAAAAAATATTTAACGCTGATTTTTTTCCCACCAGTAGTAGGCAGGTTTTTGTCTTTCCAACTTTCCAGGTCTTCTTTAGACACGATCTCATTGGCTGTCAGGTTCACCCTGAACGATGAACACAGATCGACTACGTGACTGCACTTTTGCTTTGTGATACTGCCTGACAAAAATATATATACGTACCAGCAAAGTAACTTGTTTAATAACAAGATCCCCTTCCTTAGTGATTTGTACATTGTCATTGACTACAACAGGGGCGCCGTTTTTGAGCCAGTACTGTTGGGCAAAGGGCGCCGCTGGCGGAGGCTCGCAACGGAATGTCACAGGGGAGTTCTGCTTCACCAGTTGCGATTGGGGCGCCACAGTGAAGTGCTTCTTTATGTCTACGGGTGAATTATTAATATAAGGTTTTTTAAGGTTAGATTTTAAATCAAGATTGGCATTGCAACTTTGAATATCAGCTTTCATATTGGTACGATATCTTGAATGGGAATATATTCTTATCCAGAACTTTTGTTTCGTTGTCATAATAAAGCTTTTTTAGGTTTATTAGTATTTCGTAATATATTTTTGTTATTTAAATTAACCAAACATTGGATATTTGGTTTTTTAAATTAACCAAAAACGTTTCAGTTTCGGTCAGCCGTGACCATGGGGCTTTTAAAGAGCCCGAAACATTGTTTTAAAAAATAAAAACCTATTTAGATTCGAAAAAGAACCGGAAAAACGGATGGGAAGAATATGAATCATCAAGTCTTTTTTTGTGAAAACAATTTTGGTGTTGTCAATTATTTGGTCAAGGGTGAGATGTCCATAAAATTGAATAAATTGATCAACGTTTTTTTTTATGCTGATCAACTCAGTTTCATGTACGAATCATTTTATTGTACGGGATAAAGGAAATCGGGACAGCAGAAGTTTGTCAAATTTAATCAAAATTTTCATAGAAAATGAATAAAATTGTCAATTTTTTTAATGCTGATAGACTCGGTTTCTGATTTTATTGTATTGGAAGAAAAGCATCGGCACAGCTGAAGTTGGTCAAATTTAATAAAATATTTTTCATTTTGTATGAAAATATCTTTTTATGAAATTTGACCAACCTAAGTCAATCAGCATTGAAAAAAAATATCAATTTCATTCATTTTGTATGAAAAACATTTCATTAACTTTGACCAACCTTTGCCGTCCCGATTTTTTTCGTCTCATGCAATGAAATTATCCTAACATGAAACTGACTTGATCAGCACTAAAAAAAATATTTGTCTATAATAATAATATAAAAACGCACACAATCAACATAGCCCCGCACTAGGGAAACCCTGTGTCGCGGGTGCCATGGACATACACATAGACGACCACAAATTATACCCAAACTTACGAGAGAAATAAATTTAGACCATATAAATATTTCCCCGGCCCGGGAATTTGCGTGGCAGTGGCATGGTAACCGTTTGGCCACGGATGCAGTTTACTATGCCAAAATTGTTTTCACAAGTCTTAATGGTTTCTAAGACAGTTTTTTTGTATCTTGTATGGTTTCAGATATCTGCCCCATTTAAAAAAACACTGTATTTAAAGGGTACCTTATTACTGAAACTTCAAATTTTAAACTGTTTAACTTTAAATGACGTAAGTGCCTATTATAAGAGCAAGAGTGGGCACTTCTTTGACTCATAGTAAGGCTTTACAACTATAGTCTTTCTATGTAGTAAGTTAGTAGTTAGCGACTTCCATGGCGGTGGCTTGCACACCAGCTTTCATGTTCTCGCCATCTCTGAGGACTCGGGTCCTAAAAACGTTTGTATATTGTCTCGGGCCGGCCTGGGTGTTTGTGGTACAGTCTTTGTTTCCGATATCCATAACACAAATACTTTAGTTACTCACTTTGGGATCGGAGCAACGTTTGTCATGATGTCTAATAATATATACATCCCTATAATATGGTCAAATTATAGGCACATGGGACTTATTAACTTATGTACGATCTTTGCGATGAAAAGCTCTGAGTGGCACTGCTACTGTTATGGATAAGTGTGTCGCTTACCATCAGGTGCACGACTTGTTTGTCCCGTCACTTGGTACAATAAAAAATATATATAGTTACATTATGCACCCAGGTGTTGTTATAATTATTATTTAGTTTAGTTTTAAATTGTTGCTCTTCCTTTTAGATAAGTAACTAAATATGACACGATAAAATATTGGTATCGTCAAAAAGTCCGTGCAGATCAAAGTACAAATGAAAAAATATATATCGATCTTCTTGACAATTTTAGAATCTCCCTTTCATAAAAAACCGTGTCTTTTCATACAAAATACAGCTTTAAGTGTTGTTTGATGGCCTCTTCGTTGTCAAAGTCGTATCCGTTCAAAGAATTTTGTAAAAACCGAAACAAATGAAAAAAAAAAAGGAATTCTGAAGGGGATATGTCGGGCGAATACGATGAATGGGGTAATACGTCCCAACGTAACTGCAATAGTCTTTGACGGCTTTGTAAGTATGTATGTGGTTTGGCAATATCATGACGAAACGTTTATCATGAATCAAAAACTAAGACCTTTCTTTATTTTTTTCCATCCTATAACAAACTTATATTACGTCATTAGGTATTTCAGCTCTACCTTTTTGACAAATATATTTTCATTCGTATTTCTGTACATATATATATATATATATATATATATATTGTAGATAAGGTATATATTACTCACAAGCCAATTCAATTGTAACCGGTTGACTTTTAATATGTTCAGTGCTGGTCCACGCGACGCAGTAACATTGATACTTTTCACTGCCAAAATATTCTTCCACTTCTTCCCTTGTCACTTTATGTTCTCCTTCTATTATCCTAACACCCGTTTGAGGATCAACGAACTCAAAATTTGAAGCTTGCGTCTTGATTCCATTACACTTGAAATATACCTAAAATGTAGGAAATTTTAAAGTAAAATCCATTATAAAATAATGTTTTGATTGAATGCAATAGTTCTTAGGTTTTCGCGATTACTACACATTGGCAATGAAACAATTTTGTAGGATCTTTGTTTGAATATCATTAAAAATTGACAATGGGGTATTTTTAGTTGGAAGAAAGGGAAAAGATTGTCGAAACACAGAATAAATAACATCCTGACATCATAAAGCTGATGAAAGAAAGATTCTTTGAATTCAATTTTCCAATGAATAAGCGATGTTATTTATGTATACAAACAAGATGTCTACTAAAACAAAGATTAAAGCAATCTATCTATCTTTAAATAAAAAAAAAACGAATATCTATGAGCGATCTCAAAGTGTAATTAAACAAATACACGTTTATTAGAGCTTCTTGTGAAAAAGTTCGTTCAAGGGCCCCTTCAAACTAGACGCTTATAGAAGCGCTACTGTGGTGCGACAGCCGCGTCATTATTAATTTTCATACAATATCTGGAAGCGTCGTCGTAGCGCCACCATCATGACCCGCGTGCGCCACTTTTACAGTAACAATTAGTGACATAAGACGTAACGCGCGGCTGCCGTGTCACAGTTGTGCCACTGCAGTGCTTCTATAAGCGTCTAATTTACTGTTTTCCGGTTTCTGAAGGGTAAGAGTTCCTGTGAAACTACAAGCACATGGGACTTGTCAACGTTATGTCTCAGGAAGGGCATTGCAACCTACGTGATATCATAAAAAGTAAAATATTGCTACCTATATCTCTATCACAATTTTAGTACCTACTTTTAAAGCATTAGCTGCTCTGCACTTTAGCGTAGCAGGCTTATTCTTAACAACGTAAGTGTTTTCTGGCTCCAATAAAAACATAGGCAAATTGTCCATCGGCGTATGAATAGGTATTTTATCATTCACGCTCTTCTCTGTGGCTGTATCTTTGTAATTATCTTTCATATCGTAGTCATAGTCGTACATGCTCTCGTCTTCTTCGTCTAGACGATCATCATCTTCTTCTTCATGGTTGGGGAAAATACGGGGTAGAAAATAGTCAGTAGCTTCATTTGTTTGATGTTTCAATTCAATTGGCTGAGAATCTTCTGTTTCGAGTTTCTGAAGAGTTTCGTCATCTGACCGGTGTGTACCTTCGGATAAAAGTCCTTGTTAGTTGTTTTTAAGTAAAACCATTTGAAGTTAATACTGTGCCGCTAGCACACAAAAATATATTTATACTTAGTGTCTTACATTTTTGTCGTGTTTTTGTTTTAATTAAATTGTTTTGTTTTGTTTGTAATTTTGTTTTGAATTTTGTTATGTGCCAACCCTGAAGGCATTTTGCTGAGCAAGATCACATTGCACACGGCAACGAATTATAGAAAACGTGCACTTTAAGTAAACCGCCAACGCAGCGCCTCGTGCCGGATCCACCAGGGCAACGTGACGCCGCGCGCCTTCACTTTGATTCTTACATCGATCGGGTCAACTTGCATTTAGAATTAATTAAGTTAAATTGTAATTTCTTTTATTAATTAAAATAGTTTAAATTGATTTCGGTTTTTTTTGAGTCCTCCGGCCGTGGCCTACGTAATTATTTATTTATTTATGTTTTACGTTTGAATGTTTTGTTTTTCTTCTGTTTTGTTTCGCTTTTCTTAATGGCGCTATTTGTGGCAGTGAAATAAATGTATTTCTTTCTTTCTTCTCTTTATTTTTAAAGCGTCCCTTTTCCACGAAAAGTGGAATAAAGATGAATATAGTTAGAATCAGATTGTCATAAACTCCATTAGTAAGAAACAAAAAAGACAAAATTAAAAGTATTCATTTGTCTCAATTTCTTCTGACAAATATAACGTGAATCTTAATAACTAAACATTGACATTCAAAATGGTCTCCACTCAGCGTTTGCCGGATTATTCATGCAAAACAACGCGATGCTGACCAAGGCACAGAGGAGACGCCACCGACAATCAACAACGAAATATAACTTAAATTTAAAACATCAAATAAAACAAAAATTTACAAACAATACGATGCTAACAATTAGTTACTGTCTAAACAGTAAATGTGTCCATTAGCGTTGTTAGAAACGATTAAAGTGGGAGGGCTCAAACTTACCGGGCGTTACCATCTTTTAAGGACTTAAATGCTTTAATTCAAAAGCCCCCTAAGACAGAAAACACCACGATTACGCGCAATCAAAATGTTGAAAATAGTTCTTAAAAATAAACAAAGAGCGATGGTAGCTGAGTGGGTAAGCGGCTGCTTATATATTGAGAGTATTGGAGATATTATTATATAGATATATTAATTAAGATTGTAAGAAATTAGAGAAAATTATTTTAACGTACAACTAGAAATTCACACAAAATTGCAGTTTCTAGTGTAGTCAGCGCCTCCAGTAAAAAGAAAGAAGTAGAGCTCCTTGTGAAAGAGTTGGTCCAGGGTAGTACTGCCACCTTATCTATTTCTGCCACCAAGAAGTAATGTCAGCATTACTGTGTTCCGGTTTTAAAGGATAAGGGTGCTGGTGAAATTACAGTCACACGGGACTTGTCAACTTATATCTCAGTGTAACGAGCGCAGTGGTAGTACCCCTCAGATCTTTGCAATTTAAAGCTCTGAGTGGCACTGTAACTGTCATGGACAGGCGTGTAGCTTACCATCACGACTTGTTTGTCCCGTCACATAACGATAAAATAAAACTATAATCTTATTTCATTGGCTTGCCTGTACAATTATACTTTCGTTTTAAGATAAGTGCGATTACGAATATTTAGTGGCAATGTTTCTCGCTTATGGTGAAATAGTAGAGCATAGTGATGGAAGCTCTGTGTCAAATTGAGTTCACAAATCTTGCGAAAAGTGTAATGTTCCCAACCCGCATTGGGCCAGCATCCGGACTATGTATGAACTAAACGCTCTCTTTAGAGGAGACATGTGCCCGACAGTAGGACGTCTAAAGGGTTGTTGATGACGATGACGACTTTTAACTTAATATGCCCAACAGTGGGCCACTTAAGAGTTGACGACGATGATGAAAAGGCTAGCAGCAAGATATTGTGAAAGCAAAAAGTTTTTATATATATTTTTTTGCAGCACTTACAAAGAGACGATATTTTTATGCACAAGACGTCATGAATTCAAACTGAATGTTTTCAAAAATTTCGCAATAACATACTGTATATACATCTTGTAATTTTATCTTTCTGACCATTTGTTACAGTTATTGGCTATTGTGAGAATTAGCCATTATGAGAATTAGCCATTGCGAGAACTGGCCATTATGAAAATTGGCTGTTTCTAGCTTTCCTATTTTCGAATACAAAACCCATTCATTACAAATTTGCCATTCTGTTCTTAAACCGTTGTAAAATTTATACGTTGTAACCTTAACCTCTTTACATTGTAATTGTAGATCTGGTCTGTAGTATAAAGGCCTTTATAGATAGAGGCGTTATTCACTGCCGCTGTGGGTAGTGAAATCCGGGTGGGGACGCGCTATTGCCACTGTTCGGTATTCCCGCGGTATTCCGCACGTAAGCGGATATAGCTACCGCTTTGGGTAGCTAAATCCAATTAATAAATTATCATTTATTATTAATCATGTCACCTAATCGTCACTGGCTTGTGGAGGGATGAACTAGTCATTGTTTCCATCGTGCGGCGACATATGTTTCGCAAAGCAAGCGAAAAGAAACGGCTTACCTAGGCCATTTGCCGCGGTATCCTGGTTTCTTTCTAGCCGCGGAACTTGATACAAATATTCGGCGGGATGCCGTGCGGGATTTTTCGCTCCTTATAGTGGTAGTGAATATCGCTTATATGTCGCCCTGTTAATGCAATAATGTGTTAACTCAAAAAGTGTATTTTATCAGAATCGACGAAAAACGAATTACTCGCTTCCCGTGAAAGATCTGTGTAAATTTATGTATAGGTTATTTCCTACTTGCCAGATATACGTATTTAAAAATAAAAGAGAAAATTAATTAATTTAATTTCACGTTTTTGAATAAGGACTATTTTGGCCAGAACTCGCTCACGTAAACCGTGTCTTATTTTGAGGTAAGTAGTTATGTACATATCTTTTAGTTGTTTTTTACAATATTCTGACAACGGTTTTATTGATGTGTAGAGTATCATTTTACGTTCAACAATGGTATAATCTTGAATTTCACACATTTTGAGTTATAACACTATTGTAATAGCAGTGCGATGTCTGAACAGGCGTTTAAATCGATAAAATCTGTTAGCGTAACATAGCAAGGTTATCGAAATCGCATATCACCTTTGCCAATATTATCGTCCACGACTGATCATAGACCTCGACCTAGCTGTAGGGATGAACATGTTCGTCTGCCCCGGTAGCATGTGGCAAGGGCGGTCATCTTGCGCGCAGCTAGCGCGTCTTTGTAACGTCTAGACGAGGGCCCAAAGCGAGGAGGCGCGGAACACGTGAGTTGCCCTTTAAGTCGGAAGCTATGCCCGGACATTGTCGCCGGACACTGAGATTGGCATCTTTAGCCCGGAGAGCTAGTAGAGGATAATCCTCCGGTCCCTCTAGAAGCTTAGGTTTCCGGGAATTGGAGAGATGCTTCGGCGTGGGGAGGTGAGCGTGCCTCTAAACAGGAGATTTAGTACTGGACTTTAGATTCAACGTCTTAGCGGTGGCAACCGTTAGTTGCGCAACGGGAAGTGATCGTACCAAAAGCACCGGAACCTATCTGGAAAATAGGGAGGCTGTACGTGCACCCGGAGCAGCTCACCCAAGGCACTAATTAACCTTTTGAGAACCGGATGAAGTGCAAACGGGCTGATCTGGGGTCAGGACCTGACTGATAAGGTCGCTGTGCGAGGTTGCTTACACAGGTTATAGTGTCCTTCCCGTATAACCAAAAGACTGATATGGAGGTTCACTACAAAAAAAACTTCTGAAGTATTTAGTCCTAGAATTTAATTAATTCGTAAAATGAATATTTGTTGGTGCTACCACTTCCAATGTAATAATAATATTAAAAAGTACGTTTGTTTATACTTTTTAATAATATTAAAGAGGTACCAGATAATCACACCAATTATTTAGTCTCAAAATAAAATATTTCCTGTACAATGAGCACCAAGGTAACGAGCTTAGTCACAGACACAACCTAGAATATTCAGACCAAGTTTGTATTCCTTGGTCCTGTCGGGAATGTAACCCAAATCCATTCAGAGTTGGTGCAGGTTGTATATTATTTTAATGTATATATTGACTCTCGTAGAATCTGTTCCGTCACTAAATCGCATTTACATTTCATTAACAAATTCTAAATAGGCATTAACTGAGTTTATGATCTGAATATTCAGTACAATGACAATATGATTATCCATTTTGGTGGCTTCTATTTTGATTATGTATTATAAATAATGGTGCAGTTCTTCGATGTGCAGGTTTCACAAACCAACTGTAGCTGGTTTAACTATAGTTGTGTACTACTTCACAGTCAAACAAACCGACGGTTCGGGCCCACGGTTAACCGTGACCATAGAAAACAAATATACGCGATTTAAATCCGGAAAAATAGTTTAATATCCTATTTGAATTTCTTCAAAATTCAAAAAACATTTATTGCAAATTAAAATCCATATAATATACATTGTTATTAGTTATTTTATTATTATGGTGCAGTTATTATCGCCACCATCATTAACCCATTTATAAGTCCCACTGCTGGGCACGGATCTCCTCTCAGGCGATTGTTTGAAGCCATAGTCAGCCACGCTGGCCCAATGAGTGTTGGGGACATCACACGTGTTCCAAGGGTTGTGAACCTTCTTCAACGTGCAGTTTTCACTACGACGTTTTCCTTTACCGAAAAACTCATAGTAATTTTTAAATTAAATTTTATTATATTAGTTACAATATTACTTACTTTTATAACGAAGAAGATTACTTACTTTTTTCTCCATTTTCTGCGCTGACGATCGCCACCAGCAACACGACCAGGAAGAAGGTCCAAAACTTCACTTCCATTTATAAACTTATATTTGCACAATAAATTCAGAAAATTATCAACTCCCACCGACTCATTTTGTTCCATCACTAAATCTTAATTACATTTTATTTACAATTTCTAAACGTGCATTAACAGAATTTATAATCTAAATATTTTGTCCGTACCTGATAACAATTTTATTATACATTTTATTCACGATGTTACCACCGGAAAGTACACAAAATGTTTAGCAAAGACAAAGAAAATA